ATGGATGGATGGATGGATGGATGGTGAGCTCCATTGTAGGCAGAGCTGTTTGACGCCACCAGGCTGCCGTACTCTGGCCCCAGGCGACCCTCTGACCACCATCATTAGGGAACGCAGGGGCAGTGTCCTGCCCAAGGACACAATGACACTGAAAGCCAGTAATGGGGCTTGAACTAGCAACCCAGTGGTTGCAGGGCAAACTCCTTCATCCACTGTGGCCCAATGTGTGTAACAGCCTGAGGCTGAGAGGCAGCAGCAGACAGGCTGGTCGCATCCAGCTGTGGACCCAGATGTTCCTGCTGACCTACCTGACATTTCCCAGTGCGAACGTCGTAGAGAGCCACGGATCCCTGCCGCGCTCCGACGGCGATCCGGTAGCTCCGATCGCAGTATCCCACCATGTAGAACCTGGACAGACAGACCCAAACATCCATGACCAGATCAGAACCAGAACCTCACAGAAACAGGACCTGCTTCAAGCACATCCCGTGGGAGCTGACCTTTGACCTGGGAGGTTCAGCTCCCCTGCCTGGCTGGGTTCCAAACATACCTGCAGATAGCAGGGAAACACTCCTGCAGGCCTTTCTTCTTCACCAAGGAGCCTTCAATGCAGTACATGATGATGTCCATCACCTGGAAGATCCACAGATCAGAACATCTGCTGACGCCTGCAGCTGGATTCATGCTGCCCTACGGCTCACCTCCACCAGCAGGTCCACGACGTCTCCCGGCATCTTCTCGATCAGGATGTCGATGACTCGCAGTATCTCTGCCTTCGCCCGGGCCAAGGTGGTGGTGTGGACGTTCTGCTGGGACTGGGAGTTGGCCTGAGCGGCGTTGTGACGATGGACCTAGAAGGAAAACAGACGATCAAACTCCATGAGGAGCATGGAGAGAAACCTCCTGAAGGAGCTCAGTGAGGGGTCCTGGCCGCACCTCTCGAGCGATGGTGGTGATGAAGGCTGGTGGGCGGGCGGTGGCGATGAGAGAGAGGGCGTGGCGGGCGGAGCGGGCCGAATCTGCAGGCGGGTTCAGGGGCAGACCCATGGAGATGCTGAGGGAACACAGAGAGACAGACGATACGGCCGGTCGGATAAAACAGAAATGACCCTCATAAACATCACAAATAAAGACATTACAATAAAGATATTGGTCTTATTGGTAAAGGGCTGCAGCAGCGTGTCGCAGATATTTTTGATCTATGCCCAATATTG